GATCTGGCTCATGCGGCCTCCAGATTCCCTAGAACCTACCCTCAGCCCCTTTCCCTCCCTGGCCAGTGCAGGCAGCTTCTTGCCCCTGCCTGGGCTCACGTTGGCACTGGTTTTGGTTTGAAGAGTTTTAGTTACTTCCAGGTTCCCCCTCTGAGCTTTCTGGGCTTTGGCAGTTCAGCCCTCTGGATGCCAGACACTGACACCAACCAGACTCTGCTTGAGACCCACTGTCTTTGAAAAAAAGGGCAGTACCAGGAGTGAGATGGGTGGCAGAGAGGAGTCAGAGAGGAGGCATGGGGCCGGCAGGTGGTGCCAAGCTAGAGGGGGCACTGAGCCTCTCTGGTTCCTTTCTGTACAATGTGGGCCTTGCACACTAGGATGGTTAGGGCCTTAGCACCTGTTGTTATCTACTGGTCTGAAAAGAATGGGAGTTGGGGAACGGGAGCTTGCCAAGAGCCATGCTTAGTGAGATGGTGGTCTGGTGCCCTCACCAGGCTGCAGTGGTGTCACTGTCATTCTCAGGGAGTTCTCGATGGCCTTGTGATCCTGAAGGGGGCTTCCCATGTGGTCCAGCAAACGGACCTCAGTTCTTATGGAATTCTCACTCGCCCCGTTCAAGCTTGTGGAGCCTGGAAGCATCAGGGGATCAGGGTTGGGGAATCCATCAGTCTGTTGGTTTTCAGCCCTCCTGCCCCCAGACTGACTAGACCCAGCTCTCACTGTTCTGCTGCTCATCTTCCATGTCCTCCTCAAGCTCTGGGTGGGGACAGGACCTCAGGTATCTTCCTTTGCTATAATACTCCTTTCGCTGCATCTTGTCCAACGTGATGGTAGTTGAAGCTGGGGACAGATTTCTGAAGGTAGAGGAATCTGAGGAATTACCCAAATCAATTTGAGTCTTATGGCCACCCAGGGTATCTAGGCCTCCCAGGTGTCTACTTTACCCACACCCCCACCACAGGGGAGAAGCTCAAGCCCCAGGTTCTCATCTCACTTCTATTACCTCCTCCCATTTTAGAAAACCTTCAGTGACCTCTCCATCCCTCACAGCTCTCTTGGGCTTTCTGTTCCTCCTCACCACCCACCCTTCCCTGGGGACTATCCAGATGGGGAATCCACCCCAGCTGCCCCTCTGTCCTCCCTGGGGTCACCTCCCAGTATTAACTCCCCCTCAGGCAGCAGGGCCCTGGGCTGATCAATGCCCACTGAGAAAGACAGGCTACAGTGGAGAGAGCTCTGGGCTACAATTCTCTTGAGTCCCTGGGGTCCCACCATAGCTAACCCTGGGCTTCTGGGATGTGGTTCCTGGTCATCAGGCCAATCTCATCTTTGACTCCTCTGGACAGTCCTCCTGCCCAGCTTCTCTCTGCAAGCCTGGGCCCTGGGTCCAGCATCATACTTCGACCGCCACTGCCCTTACTGACATTACCCACATTGCTGTTGTTATTATCCAATGGCAGGTTTTTCTGATTCTTGAGGAATTTTCCTTCATTGTAGTGTGCCTTACGGCGCTTCTCAAAATCACTGGAGTCTGTGGGCCAGTTTAAGAGCTCAGCTTTCCTGCTAAGCTCTCATCACAGATTCACTCCACCTCCCCTCTCCATTCAATCCCCACCTCTCCTCTCACATGTCTTGGAAAAGTTGTCTGAAGACCCTGAGCTTCTGTTATCACCATACTGGAGGACCTTGGGGCAGAAATTGTCCACTGTTGCAAACCTAAAGGGGAAGGAGACTAGTTGGGGGCAACAAAGGGAGAAAAAAACAATAGGGGCAGGTGGTCGAAAGGGCCAAGCTGGCTGACTCCCCAATCTTGGCCTTGGCCTGAGGGGAACCGTAGTACCTTCCATTTGGGGGCCCAGAAAGCAGAGCTGGCCCAGACCCCAGAGATTTGAGGTCTGAGGAAGACACCCTATATCCCTACTGATCTCTGGCAGGGCTCTCACCTCTCTGCTAGTGCTTCTGGAGTCACTGTGTGGGATGACCCTGCGAGCAGGTTCTCGTCGCTGTCTTGCAGCCTATAGAGGGAGGAAGCAGTGCTGAGAGGCAGGCATCAGGCAATATTCAGTCCCTGAGGCCTCTCTGCCTTCCCCCAATCCCTTCCTTTGAATAGGGAAGCAAGTCTGGGCTGAAGGCTCAGCACCTGTGGTAGGGAGTGCTGGGCTCATCCACCTTCATGAATCCGTAGTCCTTGTCAACAGGGTGGTAGGTGGCCACGATATTCATTTCATCCCAGTGCTGAGATTTTTTCCTAGGGTGGGGGAAGGACACAAAAAAGGGAAGGTAACCTTCAAGTAACCTCCTCTTCCCAGGCCTCCCTAATTCTTTCGGTCATTCAAAAACTTTTTCTTGTACTCCCCTGCAGTTCCAGAGGTGTAAGAGGATGGGGTTGGAGTCACACCTAATTACAATCACGTACTATGTAGCCAGAGTTTATCCGGTACCTACTGCTTTCCTAAAGACTTGGAAACAGATTTCACACTCACTTGCCCTCACCTACTCCCACTTCCAGTTCTCAGAACTATGCACCTTCCCTCCTCGTTCCGCCCTCTCCACTGTCTGGAACTCCTCCCTCCCGCCTCCGCGCTGCCGGCCCGCTGAGCTGGGATCCTTACTTTTCCTCAGTGGGGGATTTATGCATCAAGGTGGAGCTACTGTTTTTTAGGATGCTCCGGGGCCGATCCTCACAGGGTTTGTGGTGGTGCAAGCAAGTTGACCCCGAGCGCGGACTGCATCCGGAGTTGTGTACCCCAGACCCCTCGGACCCAAGGCCAGACGTCCGAGATATGCTTGTTCCAGGAAAGGGGGCATTAAATCCGCCAGGGTATGTGCCGGACCCAAGGCTGTGGCCTGCAACCTCCCCAGGATGTTGGTTGGGCCCGGAACCGAGGACTGCTATCACCCCGGAGGGCCAGCTAGAACCAGGACTGCGAATTACAACTCCCCCAGAGTGCAGAGGGTGCCCAGAACCGTGAGACAAGACAACTCCGGAGGGCAGCCCGGCGCCTGCCTCGACTCCTCTGATGCCTCCTGGCACTCCCCTGGTTGCCCCTCCAAGGAATTCCCGATTGAGGCCGCCAGCAGCCCCCAGAGAGTCCTGCTTCTCCATGACCCCACTAGGGGGCCACTCTCAACTACCCCGACCCGCCTCCCTGCTCCACATAGCCTCTCCCCTGAGGCCCCGCCCCCACCGCGGAGGACAAGGGATGCTTGGATCCCTCCTCCTACTATGCTCCTTGGAGTCCCGGTGGGCAGAATCAAGACTATATATAGGGACCTTGGGCTGGGAGCCCCTCCGCTTGCTCCTCCCCTTATTGTCCCACCCAAAAATCTTATTTCTTTGTCTCTGGGTTTTGTTCCCGCCCTTTTCTCCCCATCACCGCCCTCATCTGAATTGTCCAATCATAGGGGTCCTAGTCTTGGGGTCAGAAGCCTTGTGACGTCACAGTCCTTCAACCTTAACGCGAGGGTCAGAGTTGGGCTGGGAGCTTTATAGCTCTGGGGGATCTTTTGGGACCATTAGCGTCGTTGCTTGAAACTGCCTGCCTAGGTTTCTTTGGATTTTTTATTCGTGGCTTTAATATCTATGTTTGGATTGGTGTTAAAGGTGGGCTTGACTGGAAACACCGTGAGCCTTTTTCCTCCAAAAGTCGGCCCGCTTTGCCTCTCACGAGAGGTGATAGAAAGTGGAGAGATTGCAACACTGTTGCAATACATGTCAGGGCTCAGTGGTGTGGAGGGCAGAGATTTTCATTCATATAGCTACCTGTTCCGCTCACACCGCTTTCAGGCCTGTTGCGTGAAGAGGAGACACCTCCTCCTGTTGCCATAAACCGAATTCTTCTAGGTGTAGCCTGTATCGGGGGCAGTGTCGTCGGTGCCGCTGTCGCAAAGTTGAAAGTGTTCTTGGCGTCCGCATTCCCCCTCCGTCGTAAAGATGCCTGCGGCAGTCATTTCTTCCACTGTCGCAAAAACTCCCTGCCCGTCTTCACCTATCTCGGAGCCATTCCGTCTCCTCGTCATGCCGTAAAGCAAACCTTTCCGACCCCGTCGTCCTTCTGTTCCCACGGTGGTAGTCATTAACTCCCTAGCCTGGAATGCTTCAGTACTCGGCAGTGCCGTAAAGCACAGCTGGCCTCAGCTCGGGGTTTTATTCCTTCTGGGTGTCTGTGCACCGCCGTTGCCACGGTGCCGCCAA